TAACTAATAATACCTTATATAAGCCCAGGAATATAGGAAGTGTGTCGTGAGTAGCGTTAGCCAATCATTACTAGCAAACCTAATGATATATATTGGGCTTGTCAGCGCCTCCGTTAAGTCGAAGAGGAAGTCCTCCATTATATAAGTATGTATTTTTTTTCTTTGCTGACAGAAATTAAAAATAAAAAATAAATGTGGGACGAGCCATTTTTTTCATTCTGTCAAAAACTCAAAGAAATAAATACTTTGGCATCATTCTCCCACATCGCTGGAGAAATCTAAAACTAAGGAGAGAGTGACTATAAAATAAAGCAAAGACATCTACTTATCTAGCCCTTTACGCGTGTGAGACAACTTTTACTATAAAATTAAAAGTTTATGGCCTACATGACTTGTTTGGCTTGAATGTTATGTTTGGGGTTGTTCATTTTGAAACTTTTACTATAAAATTAAAACTTTATGGCCTACATGACATGTTTGGCTTGAATGTTATGTAAAATTAAAAGTTTATGGCCTAGGTGACATGTTTGGCTTGAATGTTATGTTTGGGGTTGTTCATTTTGAAATCTGAAGTCCAAATATCAAACGTACATTCCAAATGGAAAACTGTTGGCCTTAACGAACCATTTCCGGTTTTACCGGATTTTAACCGATTTGCACGATTCGTAAACAGATTTTGAGATTTGCACGATTCGTAAACAGATTTTGAGTCCAACGGTTTTATACCCCCAAACGATTCGTAAACAGATTTTGAGATTTGCACGATTCGTAAACAGATTTTGAGTAACGGTTTTATACCCCCAAACTGAACTGGAGTTCGGCCGATTCCCGATTGCACCGGTTGAACTGGTCTGCCCGATTCGGTCTGGTTTTCAAAACCATGGTTTGAATTGAAGGAAAGAATTATGAAGTTTGTTATGTTCATGTATTTTGTGTTTAATATTTTTAGGATGAATTATGTTTGTGGTTTTGAAGTTGGTTATTTTATTAATGAATTCATCAAGTAATCATGGATGCTTATATACATTTTATTCATGGGCTCAATGTATCTGTTACAAGGAAAAACTTTGTCAACGTTTTTGTAAATAAAATATTTTTCTGAAAACGAATTTCGAATCGAATCAAATCGAATACGAATAAAAAATTGTGTTCGTTTATAAATCGAATACGAATTTGAATACTCGAATATTTTTTTTAAAACTCGAATCGAATATCTTAGCATTCGCTTTGTTTACAACCCTACATACAAGTATAGAATTTGTATTTCAAAAAAGTTGCACACCTAAAAGATAAGATGCAATAATCATATCAAAACCTCTTAATGCAAAGGATCATAATATATTAAAAAGAAAATGAGAAATATTTAAAAAGAAGATAAAAAATAAAATCAGACTGAGGCCGGTTTTTGGAACTTCAACGAAATCAAAAATATATCTGACTAAACCTACTAAATATTCAGAAGAAAACTTGTGCAAAAAAACTAGTCGATATCGTTCATAGAACTCATCCCTTAGGATCATGATGCAGACAACTCATACTCGTCCGACTCTTTAAAAGAAACACCAAATTTACATGCAACAGCGACTTCATTGAGTACAAATGAGAATTTTCGCCGTATAAAGCTACTAACCAGAATGCTTGAAAAACAAACTTGTTCTCCAACCATGTAAAAAACATAGCATTACCTTTTCTGCTCGTGCCTTCATATCCGACTAATATCACGACCGAACACGAAGGTTGTCAGCCAATTGATTGCCACATAAAATCTGTTCCTCCAGCTGATGACACGAGTGAGATAAGCTGAGCGCCAAACAAACCAGCTAACAAAACCTGCCATTGATAGACCTTTTGCCTCCTAGTGACAAAAAAATAACAATTGGGGTTACTGATAATAAAACAGAATAAATTTATTAATTTCTTGACCCATTAGTAAATTTTTCCTTCTGCATGAGTGATAATAATATTTGTAATATTCTGATAAAGAAAAAATAAAATTCACTTGGCAAGCGTGAAAGTAAAACCTTGCTCTGCCTAAGGTCCACCAGCGCCTTGTATCTTCCAATAGTAGCCATGCTCCCCAAGTGCCTATACACGAATGGATTTCCAAAGTCGACATCTTTTGCAGCATCTGCACGTCCACCGCCAGCCTTCCCCAAATGGTTCAACAGTTTTGCAAGATATTTTCCCTGCCGCTCGGCCACCTGAAACAAACATTTTTTTCCATGTTATGGCATTTTAAGACTGCATGAATTGGGAATTTAGAAAAGAATTATATTATATATTTTTTAAAATATATATATATATATACATATATATTTACATATGCAATTTGTAAAACATTACCACATTCAAGAAGGCATTTGTAATTTAAATTAAAATAATAACAATTGAATTTTTCCTCCAGCTGTTCAGAAATATTCAGTTTATTGTCTTAGAAATTGTGAAATTAAACACATAACATATAGAAAAAGCACGATTGATGACCCAAGGTTGACTGAATTCGAGGTATTTCAAACTTAATTTCATACAAGCCCATATGTCAGTATCAACCTGGGCCAGGGCTGGAAGAACGGGTCTGCCTGTACTTTCAAGAAACCCACTGCAATCGCCAATTGCAAACACGTCTTGCACAGAAGGAACCCTTAGCCATTCATCAATCCCGATCCTGCAATAAAACATGGAATCCAGTCACTTTTCTGTTAACAAAATTGGGAGATTGTTAAAAGTGAATGTAGATTGTGACAGGAAATTGTGTTAAAATAACAGATTAAAAATAGAAGTCAGGGTCACTTGCATAGATAGTGAAACTGTACGCATTCTAGTGATTTATTTGAACCACACCAAAAGTACGTTTCGTGTAATACAACACATACAATGTAAGCTGTCAACACGCGATTGAAGATTCAAAGTTGATTAAGTGGAAGTATTCAAGTGCCAAGAGTATAAAAAATGAACATGAGAATGGTTCACAGAACACATCCTCCCTACATACAAATGTAGAGTTTCACGATCCTACATGTCAACTTCTGG